GACACTTTTGTCCGTCGAAAGAATTAATTAAATATAAATCCGATACCTATACAAGAGCGCGATTGATTGCTATCGTTGCATCAGACGATGGCGCGGTTCAGACATGATCCAATCGGCTAACGATCCAGACAGCCATATTTTCTTGAATTAGCGAATATGGCAATCGGAGGAGGGTTTTCTGCTCGATCTCGATCGGTGCAGGTCAGCACGAGGAAAGAGGGGATCGCGGTACGCGCGATGCACGCGAAGAAACGAAAGAGAGGAGGGCTTCGTCGCCGAGTGGGAGAATTTTCACATCAGCAAAAGTGCCAATCACGATTGCGTTCGTTACCCGCGAGTGCGATCATGCGAGTAATGAAATCATACGGTTAAATTGTTAAATTACCAACTGACAGCGATTAGATTCACTCTTACAGGATATTTATACGTTTAATGAGAGATCAAATCATCTTACAAGCATTACATTATGTTTTATATTGCTGTTATGTAATGAAAAGTGACTTATATATCACTTCAAGATTCATTGAATTTTAAATATAATCTGAAATTTCTTAAAAGTGAATTTGTTTCCAATTTTACACTGACGCGTTAAGAATACTTTTCAAAAGATTGAGCAATGAGCTGAAAGAAATTTTCACATCTTACAATTAGCGGCAACGTTGTCGCCAATCACGATTCCTGATGAATGTATAGCGATAGCGATAGCGGAGTAGGTGGGGAATAGCGAGCTTATTCTTCATTGCACCAAAGCACGCTGTTTCGTATTCGGACGCACTAACTGAGAAAAGTTTTACGACTGGTCGATCCTTGATCGACCAATCAAAGTTCCAGAGAAGCGATTGACGAGAGAGAGAGAGAGAAACGTATGTATACAGGCCGCGTTTGCTAAACTGCTTCTTGCGGGCATTTCTTCGGAGCAAGATTATTATCAGCGCCCGGCCGAGCGATTCGCTTTCAATTAACGATCTTCTTTTTCACTTGCTCTCGGATCCGCGAGCTAGGAAAATATGTAACGCGCGAAAGGCGCCACGTTCTCATTATACATGCATGCGATTGCGTAGCATCTTTGACTCGCATGGATAATTTCTTCTGCTCGCTTGTGATCGTGCGCTCATTGCATGCAGGTGGTGTTGTGAAATGACTGCCAGGTGTCATGGAGAATTTTAATTTATGCAGGGTGTTTCGTTAGATATCCTTTTATCTGTAGTTTTTACGATCAGTTTGGAGACAACTTTTAAAATATCAAAACAATTATTTATTGCACTCTTCGAATTTAATATCCAAGAGTTAATATCGTATAATTAAGATTTAATTAAAAATGTTATTGTATCTTACTTAAAATTAACTGAAAATTATTTTTTTCTATTTTCTATTTTAATTTTTGTCTTAAAAAAATATTTATTTGTTTATATATTTCTAACAATATACATATAAATCAATTAAATCATTTTTATATTATTATATTGAATTTTTATATTATTATATTGAAAACTGTGAATACCTCGATATTTTCATTAAGAGAAAGATTAAAGATAAAAGATTGATTTCGTGTTTACAAATCTGTAATTACAGAGATATTAGAGTGACACGAGATACGAGAATACGTACGTGTCACTAAAACGACTTCGCGTTTATCAATTCTTAATCAGTTGAAAGCAAAAGACATGCAGGAATTGATTTAAACGCATCGTACCTTTCTCGATGAAAAACGCCTACAGAACTACTTGTGAGTTGCCTCATTGTCAAATTAAAGACGACGTACATTAAATAATTCGTATGGAAAAGAACATTAGGCAATTTAACGGTATCAGTGAATAGCCTTATATTCCTCCTTTCAGATTTCTACCACGTGGGCGATCCAATTGGACTAGCTGTAAGATGGCCCATCATCGCCTCGAGAAATCTTTCTCGGTTTCTCTCCTTCAGATGCCCTCATGAGGACTGCACTAGTCCTCACTTTTAGCTGAATCACATTACTTTGCGTTCATATTTCGAAAGCGAACAACGTCGAAGTCTCTCACAGGTGTCGGAGCTCTTACATTAGGTATGCAGCGAGATCAAGCTGCGTATTTTGTAATTATTTATCGCCTACTACGGGGCGCAACGACAGTGATTAACGACCCTATAAAAGCAACGATGTTAATGATGCTGGTTACTGGAAGATGAATTTCGAGTGGATAAAGTTTGGGAGATAAATTCACCGGGAAAGTCATCGTCGGACACGCATTCCAGGTTCCGAGTCTTCGGTCAAATTGTGACTTTGTTTCTTTCTCAATGCTTTGTTAAAGCGTTAATCAATTCGCTCTTGATGATTTACTGTCGATTTTATCATCGCAGTTTAATATTCCACGAGCAGATTTTACATTTACACACGATCAGAAGGATTAATTGTTCTATTATGTAAAAATTGTATATCCCACGGAGATACACGCAAAAACGCTGTCTTCTATGTTTCACGCTTGCGTCTGGCAAATGCGCCTTTCAGATTCGCTACTCTCTAACAACCGATAAAGCTCGATTTTCGACGTCTACGGTAACTAACGTCCAGCACCAAAATTGTCACCCACGCGCGACAGCGCGTTTCGTCAGCGTCGTCGGAGCGTACTTCCGCTCGCGCGTCATGCGTTCGGGAATCAGGTGGCTGTTCCCAGACGTATCTAGGCCATGTTACGCAAGGCGCACAGCTGGCATTTGCACTATTGATAATTGATACGCATACCGATACAAAACTCAATAATGTACAAACGTTAGGTTTTAAATGGCAGACAAACAGTCGGCCGATCAGAACCGTTCTATCGGTCCATTGTATCTTGGGATTCTCTCTGCGCAGACGACGCGTTGATATTTTATGCGACTGTCATCTCCGGCGTCGATCCCATGGAGGCGTATATTATATTCCGTATAGGTTAAACCACCCCGCCTACTTGCCCGATGTGTCCCAATACCTCGCAACGATATGTCAACAACTATACTTTCAACTCCGCGTTCCATCAGCTCACGCGTTTTATCCAGCGCGTTCGTGGAATAGCGTTTAAATCCCGGCGATCGGACCGCACGCTCTCCAACAATACGTTATTTTTAATCAAAGATTTTGACATTTTCAATAACACTAATTCCCAGAATTTGCCGTTGAGTGAACAATAACTCTTAAATTTTCATCATACAAATGCGAGTAGAGAAGCAGAGTGTATAAAAACCTGAATACATATATATATTTTTCATCTACGGCGTACAATTTTTATTCGGTGCATGGAAAATTTTTTTTTTAAATTGTTTAAAATTATTTTTTCTTCTATTTTAGATCTATAAGAATGTGTAGCATAGAATGTATGTAACTTAATGTTTAATTTTAATAATTTTAAGAAAAGTCAAATTATGTTTTTCGTGTAAAATTGATTTAACTGCAACCGATTATTTTGCAGAATAATTTAAATCTTTGAAAGCGGTATGCATTAAAAAGAGAGACATGTAAACAGTTCCGGGAAAGTGGCAAATAGCCTCGTATCAACTTTTCGCTCCACTTTTAACAATCTCATTAATAAAGTCCACGCCTTTTCAAGTATGCGCCTGAATCCCAGGCTCCAGTCACAGGCTTCCTTCGAGTCGCGTTAAATCGTATCGGGATGTATATGGCAATGATTCGGCGGTCGAAATGCGTTTGCCATTTTGTGCAACGCAGACGCGCAATAAATTACGTACATTACGAGATGGACGGGGTGCACCGGGGAGGCTCCGAGCACCGGGCGTCATCCGGCATGCCACTGTGGGAAACCTGAAGCCTCCTCCGGCAAACAGAGAGGAGCCTTCAAGGCTCATTAACCGAGAGATAACGCGTTATGCCAGATTACGCCGTTTCTTCGTTAGCTCACTTATCGGCCTGGTGCCGTTGGCCGCGTGAATGTCGATGCATCGGTCCCGTCGGCTGTTATTCGGAATGCATGTGCGATAAGCGATTCGATGTGGCTGGTTGATATCGTGAAACGTCTCGCAGGCCATTTCTTTTGGACCCGTATTCGCATCGGTTAATGAAGCCATTTATTTCAATTTTTATCAGTAAAGCCGAGAACAATGTACTCCAAAGAATGCTACAGAATAACCGTATCGCTAGGATTATATTATGTCATACCTATACTATTCACAATTATCACGATTACAATGCTTGCGACGTATGTATTTGAGGAAAAAGATAGTGGTATTGATATCTATGATATGTCACATATCTAGTAATAATACTTGATTACCATTTATAGCACCTAATGTGATGATTTAGCGAAATTTAATTTAGAATCCACTATTAAAGCACCAATCCGTTAGCCGAAATCAAGCTCTTTTATTTAATTTTTCGAATGGAATAATTTGTGTTAATTAATTCTTCGAAGCCCCAGTATCTTAAGTGCGTTGATTAAACGGAAAAATAAATCTCTGAAAGTCTCAGTAAGAGAGAGTTAAGTAACAAGTACTGAAAGAAGTTTCCTTGATTATTCATTTCGCGAGTAGTCGGATGAAGAATAAAAAGAGAAGGACACCAAATACGAGAAGTGGCTTGTGCGCGGCTCGATTCCTCGTTGGTGGATCGCGGGGTTAAATATACCCTCGTTGGTCTCATCATACAGAGAGAGGGAAGAAAGAGGAGGAACGCGAGAAAGAGAAAATGGAGCGAAAAAGACAGAAACAGTCGCTCGCGCATGCATACACACATTTATATGTCAAAGTGAGGACGGGAGGGAACACGAAAGAGGGAGAAGAAGAAGAAGTAATAGAAGAAGGGAAGGAAGAAGAAGAGAGAGAGAGAGAGAGAGAGAGAGAGAGAGGCGGGAAAGAGAGGGAACAAGTCTGGCTCTGCTATTACAGAGCATCTCCGTGGCGCACAGCCCAATATGGAGCAATCTCAGATTTCCATCCGCCCAAATCGAGAATATACGCCCGCGCCTCCGTTCGCTCTTCTTGGCCCGCGGAGGGTTGGTCGTTGTCGCGGTTGTCGTCTTCGTCGTCGTCGCCGACGTTTCTCCCCCTTCGTCCTCCTTCGACGAAGGTGTAGACGTTGCTCTCGGTGGAGTTGTCGCTTGTCCACTTCACTCTCGCTCGTAACAGTGCCAAAAGTGCTTCAAAACACTCCGCTCCGTTCTGTCGGTCCCATCTTTTTCTCTTTGCTCCTTTTCTTTCTCCCTATTTCTTTACTTGCCGCCTTTATATTTTTCTTGCGATCGATACAATTTCTCTTTTTATCTAGGTGGAAGTTTATCCACGTGTTCACGTTTTCTTTTCCTTCTTTTGTATCTTCCATTTTTTTCCTTCGAAATATCTTGCTATATTTGCCAAAGAATCACGCGAGGCAGAGTCGATCGCGATGCATTGAACGGCTCGAGATCGGATGAAGATTATTAATCGCGGCCTGTGATTTGTGCAATTGATCGTGTTCAACGATGACCATCGTATCATCCAGTTTGACGGAAAATTGATCGTGTATGAAAATCGCTCGAATATTGTAAACGTTTACAACGCTCCGCGAAGTCAGCCGCCGGTCCCGATTTTTCCAGAAGAGGATTCGTCAAGAATGATACGTTCATGTTGCCGGAAAGCAACTTTCCCGTCACAGGTAATCAGCAGTGAGAATATTGAACGAACTTAAAGAGATTTAGTTCGAATTAGCGTGTTTTTGACAAAGTGTTTTCGGTTGACCGTGGATTTTTTTTGGACTTTATTAAATCTACAAACTTTATTTCGCTTTGCTGTAGAACAAAGCAATAATAGCAATTTCAAATCATCGACGTTATGCATTTTCTATCTATCTGTACAGTAAATTGAAAATTTCCGATTGTACTTTAAATCTCTATCTAAATATTTGCAAAAAAACAATCGACGGAAAATGAGATCGTTTCGATCGAACTGTCTTTTCTCTCACAATAGATTACTGTTCTCCACGTGGGATGCTGTTGCTGCACTGCGCTACGCGATTTGCGCGGGTGTTTACGCGTAATTATGATCCAGCGACGTCATAATCAGGCCAATGGATCACGGTTTATCCTATTGGTTCGCGCAATACAGGAGCAAATCGATCTATGACTTTAAAGATCTTGACGATCGGTTATCGCGTGTGAGGAAAATCTTTTCAAAGGATTTCTTTTTTCCGGTCGTTGCATCACCTTGACATGTTCCCGAGCACCGCGGCTGACTTTCCGTTTTTAACCTAGTTGCGCTTCTGCCAATAGTGCGAAAGACCACATGTTTTCCCGCGGAACAAACGTCTGCTCCGATTCGTCCACTTGTTGCCCACGAATCAGTTTGACATCTGTCGTAACATTATTGAAGAAATGAAAAAAAAAAAAAATCATTGTCTACTTTCTTATCTATCACAAATATCGAGTTATAAAAAGAAAACTTGGATAGAATCTACGACAGATTCTTGAAATATCTTTTGTAAACAGCTGATTACATCTATAATTTTTTGGAGCGAGATCGTTGATTTGTTATCATTTTTTACTCTGATTAATATTTTGAATAAAATTAGACATGCGACGGTAAAACGTGTACACTTCAGCAATCATAAATGCCTAGTGCGGCGCGATACCATCAGCCATAATCCTAAATATGGAGTGAGAAATTTGAGAGAACCGAAAATAGTGGCGCTACGCCAAACGCTAAAAATAGCCAAAAAATAAATTGTAGTTACGCGCCCGCCTGCATCATTCTATAACTGGTCTTCAATGAAAACGAGCCACCTCCCGCATATGTCGATATTAATATCTTCCACTGATGTCGCTATTTAGTTTATGTTTATGTAAAACTTTTTACATTTTAAAATCATTAAAAGTTGAATAAAGTACTTTAAAATCTAGACCCTTTAACATTTAGACCCTTACACACTCTTGTAACTTATTGTTAGACTTTTGAAACTTTACTTGACATTTTAGTTAAAATCTGAAAAAACTTAGAGTTGTAGAATTTTGGAATTTAAATCGTATAACTTCCGTATAATTAAAATTTCTTAGAGTTTGTAAGAAACTTAAAGTGTTGATTCTTAGAAATTTCGAAAGTATCTTTATATGTATTTTTTTTAAATTATGTTTTTTTTTAATCTCTTTGGCCCTTTAAAAATATAGAAACTTGTCAATTTATTTCGGAAACCTTTATTTTTGAAATCATAATTTTTAATAGAAGTTTTTCCAGATACTTTCCTTGGATTTGCAAATGTTAATTTTTCTGTTGCTTATTGGGTATTTCTATAAACAGAAGTCAAATCAAGTTTTGAATATTTAATTACGATTAATCTCACACTTGTTAATTTATACATAAAAGATGAGATCTTTTATTCCCAATTTTATTTTTATCATATTTATTAATACATTTAATGTTATGTGAATATGGAAGGAGTATGCAAGTACACCTCGATTTTGTTCTCGGTTTTTTTCAAGATCTTAATGTCTTAGCTTTGTACCGATATCTTATCCCGAAGTAATGAAATGACTGCCGTCACATAGGCGGATTCTCGCGAGGCGTTGAAACCCGATCGACTAGGCCAAGTATGGCTCAGGAATTGCGGGTGTTCGGTGGGCTGTGCCGTAGTGTTGCCGGTTCTATTTTCGCGCAGGAATATTTTTATCCAACGGTGCTGCGCAAAGTCACAGTATGTATAATACGCTTCTTCGTCTTCTGCGCGTCTCCTTCTTTCTCCGTTTTAGCCTCTTTCTACGTGTCGTTTTCCGACATTGCTGCGCCGGTCGGCTAACATTTTTGCTTCGTTGATTCTATACATTAAAATTTTCTCTCTCTTTCTATAATAAAAAAAAAACATAGTATCTATAATCTTATTTTACACATTTTTGATTTATAATTTTCTACATATAATATTAAAAATTTTTTTATATAATATTTATGCAATACATATTGGGTTCTGAAAATATCGGCTGCAAATAACATCATTGTGATTGTAAAAATGAACAACACAATCGATTCTAGAATTTGACGACGAATTATTCGCGTGCGACAGATAATTGTTGTCGAATAATGCGAGTTACCTCGCGAACCGTTTCCAAGCGGATCTCTATCACGTAACGTAAGCACGGTTCTCGCAGTTCGCCATTGTACGATTTCAAAGCCTTGAACGGACACGCGGTCGCCTACGCGGTTTTGCTCGATGGTGCAACGACGGCAATAGGTGCGCTTGATCATTTATCCATTTGCGCGTCAGACATTCGTTTAATTTCTGCCATTTCTCACGCCCGTCAAATCCACGCAATGCAACTCACCGCGCTGCGCGCGGCATTAATCCGCTCGTTAATACGGTGGTTATGAATATTCCGCAATTCGTTCGCGCACACCGGCAACGATCTCCGGCTTCCACGACGGCCCACGCGCGACCTTTCGCGCGGCTCTCGCGCACGCCGAAATAAGAAAGTGGGAGCTGTTTGTATGGTGGCTACTTCCGACCTCGTTTTTTTTTTTTTTTTTATAATCGAAAGTAGCTGAATCGTGTTACAGCTGTTCAAAAACTAATGTCTTATAATTAGATTAATAATACTTGACTTGGAACCGCGGTCTTTAAAACTTGAGTCAAATTGTAGCAAATGGTTTACGAAACATCCACCTTTAGGCGTGACTACAAGACTTTTTTTTATTACCAGTATCCCAATTAAAAACAGTTGCATACTTAAGGTTTTAATTTAACACACAAATTCACATGCGCAATATTGAAACTTTCAGTGAAAATTGAATTAGCATCGTGAACTAGCAAGATTATACAAAATGTTCCAAATCTCCTTACATGACAACCGTTAATAACAATTTCTGCGGTCGTTTCGAGAGATAAAAATATTAATATAAAAAATACTAAACTATATGCGAGGAGGAATTAACTTTATAATAGCGACTCGAATGTTTCAATTTCCAGGGGGCACTATGCAGACCGAGGAAGTCGTGCCGCGTACACAGTCTGTTGGCATAGACAGTGGTCTCACCGACGGCGCTGGTTTGCAGCATCATTTGCATCACTCGGTACATCTACGTTGCCCGCTATCGCCTCTGATCCACATGGCCGTCAAACAGGAGCCGAAGGAGGAAGAAGAGCGAAGTCGCGATGTTAACACGTTAAGGTGAGTTGTAAATGTATCTCCAAGTCCTATGCGACTCGCACAGATACGTATGAAGAGAAAAGTTTGCGAGCATATTTACATATTAGTGTAACAATATATCTACATCAGAATCGATTACCAAACCAGATAAATCAAGTTAAATGACTTTTTGTTTGTTTGTTAATTGTATATAATTTTGGATGTATACCATATCTTTTTCCGTAGTTGGAAATTGATAGAGAAAAGATGAATATATATATATCTCAGAACTGACGCAAGCGCCGGTGAACGAAAGTTTCTTTTGTCGCTGTTGATAGCTCGCAAGTGAACATAGGCAACGTGGCGGATTCGGCGGACAGCAAGCATGGACAGCAAGGTGGTAATCAAATTCAAGGACTGGAGGAAAATCCGGTATTAACTGCACCGGATTCTAGCAATCGAGGACGAACTAGGTAATCTATTTTTCTTTGATTTCTTTTATACAACGTTTTATCTTTAATTTGAACGTGTTTTTATATTTTCTTAGATTTATGTAAGTTTCATATTAATCTACATATTTAAACTAAATGATTTTGCAACGAGAGAAAAGTAAACGCAATCCTTTTAAATGGTACTTTCGTCAAGTTAAACGCTTTTGTTGTTAGATTGGATAAATCTCCACATGCGTTTGAAGAGCATGATGAGTATATGTCTCGCGACGGCTTACATTGTCAGATAGCGCGATCCGCGGCAGCGATGCGACTCAGGCTATTTCTTATCTTTTTTGTCATGTCTCTAACGATGTCTTTAACTTAAAACCGGCCGATGTCCAGGAAAGTGCTTTAAGTGCGGTCGTCGCGTCGACAAGAAAGATAGGCGCCAGGAAACTGGTTCGTGCCGAGCGAGTCTTCTAAAGCAATGCGTGCGCGCGCGTACGAGTACGCGAAGAAAAAATTTGCCGATATACGTCAGCGAAACGCGCGTCGCGAGAGAGTTGATTACCGTTATTATTGAATTTCATTAAACAGCTCGGTCGCGACTAGAGAAGAGAAGAGAAGAAGCGCGACACACGCTCTCTGCATACGAGCGAAGGCGCCGTATCGCGCGGCACAAAACGCTATTAAGGTGTGGCTCGGAATGCAATCCGGCGTTAATGAAAGAGCGATATCACCGACGGATAATAGCCACCGACTGTACGCTAGTTTAAATACTTTTTTTCCAAATAATGTATTACCATAATATTGAGCGCAACATCAGTCATGAGATCACCAAAATACGTTCCTTATTTCTTTCTCCTTTTTTAACGGATATTAATAAATTGACCATAAATTTTGTTGGAAGAATAATTTTCTTTTGATTTCCTACTTATTTTATTCCTTTAAAGAATTTAAGATTAAAATCACAATGTTTTGTTTTTGTATTTTAATTAGTAAGCAGTCATGTAGTTTAAGGAGAACATACTGAAAAAAATAATAATTTTTTGTATAGCTTTCTTGATGCTCAATCAGTATAACTTGTCATAGAAATATATGGAAGCTATATATGGAAGAAAATCTACCAGTCTAAGTATTGTCAAACTATGAAATTTCGTATATTCCAGTCGTGGCCGCAGGAAATCACGATGGAAACTCAAATTTCATCATCAAGCATTACCCCCGGAATATTTGGATCACTACGAAGCGTCACTGGCCCAGGAAAATTTGAATTCATCGCCACCACGCATCATCGAGCCAACAGCATCCAGTCCGGCGCCGACTAACTCTACCCCAAGTCCCGTCGCCGACGTTCATGGTTGGCTGCAGCGAATCGCGGCGATGCAGCAAGAGCTTTGTCCACAGATCGTACCACCTCAATGCCCAACGACTCTCGGTCATAACCAACAAGTCACCGGTACTAGGAGATCCGTCATCACCTCTGTGTCTTCACAGGCTTGTAATACAACTTATCCCAGTCATCACATTCAACAGACGCAGACATCTAGCAGACCTCCCATGAAATATTCCGATCTGCCGTACATGGGTGAAATCACTCTCGACAATAGCAAACCTAGACGTGGCCGGAAACCGAAGAAGGCTGACATATGTCATTTAATTTACAAAAATTATGGCACGATTTTGCCGGGCACGCCTGGTCATGAAGAGAGGAGACTGTCGCCACGGGACAAGCAGGATTCTCGGGAGCGCGTGTCGCCTCAAGTACCTTTTCAAAGGACCGACGTTCAGAACAGGATCAGCAGTTTGCTGGAAAAACGACTGACTCAGGAGACCCGGCGGAGCTTTTCGCTGTCTGAGAATTCGCGGGAGCAGGATGAGCCATTGAATCTCTGCATCAGGGATCTCAACCAGTTGAAGATTCGATTACTGCGGAAACATGGAAACGTGTACGAGTCTGGCCAGGTGAAGAGTGAAACATCTAGCGATGGTGAAGAAGTGGAATGTCTAGGAACGGGCTTCTTGTCGGAACCGATGAATTATTCAGAACCAGTTGGCCATCGATCGAATAACAATTTCGTCAATCATAATAATAATGTAATTGATCCTATGATCGGTCACAACTCCGGCTTTGTGTATTGGCCGAATGCTGGTGTGTTTATTCATCCAATGGCGTTGCAGTCCCAATTGCTGTATTATCAAAAAGTCGCTCAAAATGACAAGTGCCCACCGCCGGCAACGGATCAATCGCCGAGAGAACAAAAGATCGTGCCAAAATCGATATACTCAATGATGGAGACGAAGAGCGCAGCCCAAGTGTCGGCATTACCTACAACTCAGGCGATGCCAGTATCTACGGCTGCCACGTCTACTTCGCCCAGACCGAAGAGAAATGCACCCTTGAGCCAGCAGCAGAGTCAACCAACCAAACGGAAGCGCTCCGCTATATTTATACCGCCGATGCCAACCGAAAACAATAATAATCCAGCGACAGAAGTGAGCATATGTAAATTCAAATTTACCGGTGGCGCCAAGCCTAGTTTACAAGAAAAGAAGAGCCTCTCTGTAGACTCAGGTGGCAATTTCCGCTATTACAGTGGTACCGGCGATAAGAGTATGCGTGGTTACGAGTTTTTTCCCAGAGAGGCTCTCCAGCAACCGGCGGGCCAATCTGGTTCCACTTCCGCCGCCGGGGCCTTTCTCAATGCCGCTGGTGAGAGGATTCAACCACCGACGACGTGCCAGAGGAGTCCATCCGGCCAGGACGATGGCCGGCGAAAGAGAAAAACTAGAAAATCTCTACAGCGCGAAAAGTTGGAGCAGACCTTCAAGGAAAAAGGTTTTCTTATTCAGACGCAACAATTAGAATCCGCGGAAGGCGCTACCTATTGCAAGTTCCGGCAGCTCAGAAAATTTACCAGATATCTGTTTAGAAGCTGGAAAGACTATTTGCCCGGTAACGTACGCGAATTGAGCGGCTGTGGTAGCGGTGCTGCCGTTGCTATAGATGGCGACGTAGCTGACGTCGAAGTCGACGGTGATGCCGCTCTCGTTCCCTCGCCACTTCCTCGCGGCAATTTGCTAGACGTGCCGAACAGTTTCGTAGACGATCATCGGACTTTACCTCTCACGTGAGACTCACAATCAGTAGTTCGCGACCAGTAGAATTTAAGTCATGACACGAGGCGATTCATATTGCTCTTCGGTTGTTAAGTTTCATATTCGTGGAAATCTATTTCGTCTGCACTGATAAATTCAATGAAAAGATTTGGTACTACTGGTAATTAAAAATGTTTTCTAAATTTATATTTTAAAACAGCAAAAATCGTGTTTTAAAGTTATGGATAACAATTGATGGTTATGCGGAAGAACTAAATTTTTATTTAATTTCTCCAATTTATTTTATGATAAAATGTATATTTATTATTGTAGTCAAAATGAATTTTTAATCACAACCGTAGCGTGTCATGACGTATTTCACGAAAAAAAGATAAACTCATAGCTTAGTGCCAAAGATGAGAGACTGGAATGTACATACATAAAATCACAATAGAGAATGGATTAACCAAAGAGTGATTTTTGCTCTCGCCATGTTGGAATTAAAGTTGTGCGGTGATAATTCATTTTTAGACAATATCGGACTGCGATGCATTTGGGACGGTATCAGAGTGAGACTTGTAACGATATCGTCATACTTTTTTAAGCGAATCGTCGAAATATTATCTCTAACGAAATCTAGTCTTATTTATACTCTTTTTAAATTGTAAACATGTTTTTCTGCTTTTGCGTCTAATGGATATTTATATGGAGCGATGTTGTGCGCACACAGCAGCAATTTGGATAATACCGCAAGTATTAAAAAAAAAAACGGGAGTTTATACGTGACAATGGACGTAATTTTGTATCGACATTACGTACAATTAATTAGACATACATTTGCCGATGTTATAGAAACGCAATCCATATGATGTATAGATACTAAATTAAATATACAATGGAATTTAGTAAGAAAATTATTTTTACGGATTACGAAACTTTTTATCTTAGAAATTAATTAACGCTATTTTCATTTTGCAATTGAAATGTTTGGTAATATTTTATCACAGGCTTATTACTGCATGTATGTGTACGGGATTTGAAACCAATATAATTTTGAAAGTTTTATTCTCAATATTATTGACTATTGAAAAGTAATCTTTAAATTATAATTTCACAATTTCATTATTACAAGAAATATGGCAATTATTATTTATTGAAATTTTAAAGTGTTTCAATATCTTATACAAGCATTAAATTCCTGATTCCTGCAAGTACGAAAAACGCGTTCTTTTGTCGAACTGATTATCTCGTCATGTCTGCTCTGTTAAACGAGATAACTGCAAGTTGAAAACCGTCCTATACTCGTGCTATTGTCCTTTTTTGTGCGGCAACAAGTAAAATTATTTTATACTTAGGCTCATTATAACGAGAAAATCTTATAGTCTGTAATAATAAAATAAATTGTTATTGATGTGGTTCACTGATCTTTTATATTCATTTTGATAGCATCAATAAAAAGTATAACCACGTTTTTATATATACAATACATTTTATATTTTATATATTATATATATTAAATATATAATATATAATATATAATATAGATATATGTATATACATTACATGTATGTAAAAAATATATTCATGATAGAGTATACATGTATACAATATTTTAATAATAGTAAATAAAACTTGGTGCTTACATATTAATTTGAATTTAATTCTGGACTAACACAATTCAATTTTCGGTAAGAAAGCTATTGTACACATAATTCCCAAAAATTACGGTTTTGCAGTTACGATACTTTTTGTTGATGCGATCGATTTGATTTTTTTTCCTTTTGTCCCGTCAAAGTGTTCTTTTATCAAAGCTCCGTGTTGCAGAAAATCATAAGCCGTGCCATCACAAAAGGTTGGCGCGCAACGAGAAAGGGATGCTGTCAAAATGAAATTCAACATGCGCAAGATGAATTTATGAACGACTCCGACTGTGCCGAGACTCGGCGTTCATTAACGATCTCCATGCTCGTGAATATTGCATTCGCAATTTTTTATCAAATTCACGTTTCATTATAAAAAAAAGACCGCTTTATGAGGAATCTTAATTAAAGTCCCTTTGAGGTACTTCTTCCCGTATCGGCTTCATTGATGCGACGCCAGCGGCGGGACGTTGCGATCGCAGATCACGTTTGTGTGCTTGCTGCACGGGGCGGAGAAAGAGAAGCGCGTAGGCCACATGATACAACATATACACATATATACTGATGTACAAGGTGTCGCGCAATTGACGACTATATAATTCAAGTAGCAGTTGTCTAAGAATCAATCTTCCTTTAACGAAAATGTTAAAGAAGACGTATGTTTAATTACTAATCTAACAAATAAAATAAAAGAATCTAGTCTATCTAATTAATAATTGGATTTCTGCGCGAATTTTAATCGATCAAGTCACTGTTAACGAAAATATTTCGCTTAATTTTGTTACAAAACATGCAGTCTATTAGTTGTTCATATTAATATAATCAAAGAGAGAGTTTGTCATTAAACTTAAGTTGTGGGACACCCTGTATATATATGCACTAGCCGGTCACATAACCAGCATCCACCGGTTAGTCCCTCCGGAGTGCGTACAGCCACCCATTCATGCATACGGCCATTCATATGTCGGTCCGGCTCACCTTGAAAGCTTTTTATCATCGATGTATCCGTGCGATGCACGCACAGGCGCACGCATTTATACGCATGCATGCTTTCACGTGTGCGTGAAAAAAAAATTACTCGTGTTCTTTGCGGAGGCGATTGTCACGCGCACGATTGGCAAATCGAAAATTTGTTGATTTTTTTTGCGCTTATATTCAAAAAGAAGCGTTTAATGTATGTAGAAATTACGCCTATATATTTTTTTTTTCTCGAATCATATTTTATTCATTAAGGAAATATGAAGTACCATTTATACACTTTAAAATAGAAAAATATATTTGGCGAAAAGAATTCATATAAAATCTAAATTTTTGTATTTCGTTACTTTCGCAATTCAATGTTACCAATTGCAAAGCGAAAGAGGAGGAAGATACAGGGCGCTCATTGCTTCGTCGTCATCGTTGTTCGTTCGTTATTCGGAGAGGCAGACACAATGCCTGCAAGTTTCCTAATACGGGCACAGGCGCGATGCATGCCGAAAAAAAGAAGAATTTTGGCAAGCGCGAGAAGAAGCCTGAGAAGGAAAGGAAAGGATGCGCGTTAGACTCGGTACAAACGTTTAATAAAGCCACTGCATACGGTGTGGGATCGATTATAATTGAATTTAGGAAAGAAAAATTATATCGTGCGCGAATGTGCTTAATATCTCAGTACAATTGTCAATTAGAATCTGCGAGGTTCGTATCGAATTTTCGTTTTTTTTTTGCTCCTTCGCGCGCCTACGCGCTCTCTATCTCCTCTTACACGTGACTGCAAGTTTCCTAATATAGTCGCGGCATATGCTTCGATGAAAAAAGACGATGTTGTTAACCACCGAGCGTCCGGCAAACTGGTTGCCATCTCGTATCCGGAAAAGACAGGCGAACTACGTGTGTAATGCTAAAACCGCCAGGACATTGACAATCTTCGGAGAAGACGTTAATAATCTCGGGGAAGGTAAATTTATTTATATACATTGGTATACGAACGGTATTGCAAACTCTGTCAAAAATCGATAATTTTGCTTAGTATTTACAAGAAAGATAATTTCAGAAAAATAAAACTTTATATCTAAGACTGAAATAATTTTCTCTGCAGATATTATCTTATGTGTCACGTATCATATAATTTCTATTAACGTTATAATGTCTATAGAAATACTCTAGACTAGATAGATTTCAAATATAACTTTTTCTCATCGTGTTCAAATTTAAAGATATTGCAGTTTGATATTTTTTATAATAAAATTGCAAACTCTGCCAGGTTCTGCCAGGTTCTGCTCTTTATTAGTCTCGCTTATCATTAATGTAAGAAATATTTTTTCGCAGGAAGAAAAAATTATTACTTGATAACTAAAAGAATTAAGAATAGTAGAAGGATAGCAAGTTTTTTCTCATCAATTTGCAATTTTTGTGTGTAAAATATTAAACTGTGCCTACTACAAAGCGCGAGATGAGTAAACAGGATAGTCGGCCAGTCAGGGTAGTCTCCGTCGTTTCTAGAGGAGCCAGTTAAAGCGAAGGAAGACGGGTTCGCGGTGGTCTACGGACAGGTTCGTTCGCGAAAAACTTCAATTTGTCTCGCGCGGGTCTGTATCGCGCCAGGATCTGCTTGCATCGGATAATACGTATGCAGCGTGTAAACTTGCATGTGCACGGTGAGAAATTATATTTCACGAAACGGTCATTAGAACAATTAAAATGCATTTGTTCTCTCCTTTGACATAGGAATCATTCAATTAATACGAACGATTGCGCAATTGGTATAGTTAACATTCTTACATTCTTACTCGTTCGTTGCCTTCTATCCGATCGCAGGTAGAGCGGTTCTTTCATCGGACGTGCAATTTCGCGCAAGAACGACTTCATGAATGAACCCGATCGCGATTCGAGACCCGGTAAGACCTCCTTCTTTCCCGCTTCGCCACCATCTACCTTCCTGCGCAGACTGGACAATGCAGACGGAATACCCGATTGTTTCTAAGCAATCCGTTTCAGACGTTCAATGTCAGAGATAAAAAAGGAACGCCATCGGAAATCATTATTCTCGATGGAAGTTGTAATCCAAGAAAAAAACCGAAATGTCGGCTTTTCTCGGGAAAATAATTAAACTAGAAATCCGCGGCATTTTAATGCGCGCATGCTTGTAAAAATTAAAATCCATACAATCTTATTGGAATATTTTTACTAAAAATGCGGAAAGAAGTAAAACGTGGGCACGAAATGCCCGAAACGTCGCGAAACGCAATAAACGTTTTTTAACATAAAATTCAGATTTTGAAAACGTCCATTATTAATTCAATATTGCGCGAATTTAACCGTTCTTGATATGTTTCATTGTAAGGTAGGATTGCGCTCCGCATCAGCTGGTCCAGGTTTCTTGTCCATCGTCGACAGCTGCGACGAAAACGAAAAATCTGATTTGGAATGGACGAGAGTAAGAATCCGCGAGCAAAAGGACGATGTATTGGATGGAAGGATGAAAGATAAATGAGAGGGAAAGAGATCACGAGTGGACGACCGGCGGACCGGCTGACCGGATGTTAATAGACGCAAGAAACGCATAACTATCTCATGAACTTCTCTTCTCGCTGCACTAATCTGTTTGTCAGTTTGCATTTAGATAATCTTTGAAAGGGTCTTTCAGATTTAAATTAATCAAAGTATTGCTTACATATAACACAAAGTATTCAAATAATTCATACAAAGATAGTCAACAATAAATTTAAAATATTTTAAAATGCGACTCAGTAAATCAAATCTTATATTTGCATATTAACATTTAAAAGGTCAATCAAGATTTTATGGCCACAACGTATATAAATGTCTTTTTGAAATTATATATTATTTATGTGATATTCTGCATTTTTTAATGTTAAATTCTTGAGATAAAATTTTTTTTGGATATAGTGTATTATATCTGATTTAAATATACTATTTGTAATAGTTGTTATATTTCTTATACTCTTCTTTTATTTCATTTTCTATACTTTTTATATTCCCTCTCTCTCTCTCTCTCTTTCTCTTTTTATTGTAGTTTTATGTGTAATTAGGTATTATCAAATAAATACAGCTACACATCTAAAATTAAATATCTTTTATACCTTTTAACTTATTAGCCATGTAAATTACATTTTGCTTAGCGAGTGCTACTTTATCTTCAGGTGAATTGTGTAAGTTCAGGTTCTTCAGA